CACCTGTAACAGTGACAGATTCCAGCTCGCAGAACAGTGTGGTATGCCACTTTTTGAGTAAATCTTTAGGTATCAGTCCCACAAAAGGTTGGGTTTTTTAGGACCAATTAACTCTAGAGACAAGAGGAGAAACTGATGATGATATACCCAAAAGTAACTCACAGGATTTGTTCCAGCAGCTTGATTTAACCACTGGAGCCAACTATAACCAATACCTAATTATGTTTAACTGTGGGAATTCAGATGGAGATGTAGCATTGTATCATGAATTCTGCCCTGGGGTTTCTCCCAGGAGTATTGTTTGGTTTCAGTTCTTTTTTAAAAGACAATTTTTTAAAAAATAGGTTACTATTTACAAATTCTCACAGAGATTAAAAAAAGAAAAGGTACCTGAAATTTTAACTCAAAAACATTAAGATTAACACTATTGTTCTGTCCATTCATGCAGTAATATTTTCCATTTCAGAGGGAATGAGGCTAACACATTTAACAGAAGCGCAACTAAATTTTCTGTATACAAAGTACTATCAAAAGAGAGGGTGGGAAGGGAGAAGAAATATTTCTTTCCCCATTGACTTCTTCCAGGTACAATAGAACTAGGTGTTTATGTGTAGCAACAGCACTAAAAATATTTTTTAAGGAACAAATGTAATTGGTTTTTTATGGCCCTGATTCAGCAAGGTAGACAGACTTCTGGTTAACTTGAAGCATGTTGAGTAATACCATTGACTTTAATGTGATTACTCATGTGGTCAGACTTAGGGATTCTGCTGTACTGTACAATAAGCAGGTAGCTAAGGGAAGAAAAAGATAACTAACACACAGCAATTCTGGGGCTAGTCAACAATCTTAGAGTCAATGAACCTTATCACAACACATAAAGGAGAAAGCAGTGAGAAGAAAATAAATCTTGATGAAATACGAAAGACCTGACACCAGCCAAAAAATATACTTCTCTTTAAGAAAACAAAAATCCAGGCAATTGAGGTTACCAAAATTCCCTATCCGGTTACATAGTTAACAGAGATTATGTGAAGCTATAAAACAGCAACAGGGAGCTTGTTTTACCCTATCATTTCCCAGGTAGGACTTCCTCTAGCTGAAATATAAAAAAGTAAATTCTTTAAAATATCCAACTAAAGAAGTACCACAAGAGAGGTAGTAAGTCCATTAGACACTGCCCCCCTCTCCCCACCACTGCAAAAGAGAAAATCAAGCAGGATAAGATTTTTTCATAAAACCGAGTTATTTCTTTACATGAGCCTTCAGAAACAAAGATGAGAACACTTCCTGGAATTACTTCTTCCACAGAAAGCAGAATAAGGCTAGAAATAGAGGGGTCAAAAAACTTTGTGAAAATAAAATAGCAATAAAGACATTGTTTCTTCAGTTAAATTCAGCCCATGGTGAAGATGCCAGCTGCAGGAGGACATCCTGTCCTATCCACCTTAGGTTTGTCCCAAGGTATTTGACGGCAGAAGAAAGAACAAGTTTTTGAGTAAAGTTCCACGTGCCCAAATCCCAGAAACACATGTCCCTCTTCCATCCACAAAAGGGGAAAGCCCCAAGCCCCCACAGTGACAAACCAGAGCTTCCACTATAGACATCTTCAGACTTCTCATAGGAGGTTGAGTGTTCAAATCAAGGCAGAGTAAGAATACTGTTTGACCTGCTGCAAGCTATTTCAGATATTAAACAACATGAAGAAAGAGTGTCACCCCACCAACTGCACTGAATTTTAATCTGTCTTTATACTCTGATTGTACACAGTGAGGTCTATGTTATGATCTCTTACATTCTTCCCCATGTCCTAATGCATTGCTACGGTCGAAGGCAGAATAAGTTCCTTCATCCCAGAGCAACCAATTGCCCACTTGAGGCTGTGTCACACTTTCTACAATCACTGGTAGTATGTTGTTGGGCCATACTAGATACATTATTTTGGCAGATTTCTTTTACTCCAAATCAGCCATGCATACCTACAGTTCTGTAAAGCCATAATGATGCAATTGCAGCAGAGCAGTCAAATGCATATTAAGTGCATATAGAAAGTAAAACTAACTTGCTCTCTCATTGTCGAGGTTGCTTTTCTGATTCCATAAAGTATATTGTCCCTCTTTACTTTTCTGTCTGCTTTTATCACCTATTTCCAATTAGCCATTGGAAATAAGTAGCCATTAACCTATTGAAATGGAACAACTGGGTATGGTGGAGATGAAAATAAAGTAACATAGCATTAATATCACCCAAAAAATGAGTGGCATAAATCACTAATTTCCACAGCAAACAGGGCTACTCTCCTGCAGAACTCTTATGTGAATAGGGGAATATTCAAGGCAAATCTTAATATGTATTAATACACTGTTTTCCGAATAAGATTATTTTCAACTTTATTTTTGTTATGGAGAAATAGCACACATATTTTAGAGGAAGATTTTTATAGAAGGTACTCCAAATTATAACTAAAGCAAAGATTTCTGCTCTGTTATGGGACCTCTTCAAAAGCCACGCCAGTGGCTTGGACTCCCCTGTTGAATAGAAACACTCCATCTCTGCTTTTGCACCAAACCAGAACTGTTTGTTTCTGCCTTGGCCTCCATCTTGGGCCACCTCTGTATGAAAACAAACAGTTTTCACAGCACAAACTCACAACTGATGACTATTTGCATTGTCTGTCTTTATAAAATATCAGTAACATCACCTCTCCTTTGGATTTGCACACGGGAGCGAAGGGGGAAAAAAAGCTTTTGTGACCTACAAAAGCCTTACTTGAAATAATTCTCTCCGACTTGAGGCCTTTTGGAATGGAAGGGATATATTGTTTTGACTTGATTAAAGCTGAAAAGTTGATTTGACATCCTGTTGTCAAGGAAACCAATTCACACACAAAAGAAAACAGTTGTGATGGTATCATTCAGACTATTCAAGTGACCTTAGGAAGAAAAAAAGGCTTCAGTTCCGAAGATTTGTATTCAACTCACTTCACCACTATAGAAATAAAGATCATTGCTCCTTATGCTTATTGGAAAGCGGTCTTCAATCTGGGAAAAGAAAAATGCCACATCTTCTTCCATCTGCCAGATCCAATACTTTGCTGGGAATATACACATAAACACACCTACCATTTATTTGCCCATTTCAAAGAACCACAGAAAGAATCACACTGAAGACTTACAAGAAAGGAAAAGGAATTTCTTTAATTGACAGGACTGTGATAAATACCCCCTGACACATACCCCACCTACTGAACAGCAGCTTGCAAGCCAGGCTTTAAAACAGTCTCCTTCAACTACAAATAGACCTTACCTCGAACACAGCATTGTTTGCATCCAGCTTTGTTTTCCTGGGAGATGTGAAAAAACAGCATTTTTTTTTTCTCTGCCAGCCTCCTAGATCCCTCACAAATTGAGTTTTACATGCATGCAATAATGGAAGTATACCTATGCTCACGCTTCCTACCTAGAGAATCCCAAAGAGGCAGAACTATCCTGGCTGACCACGACACCATCATCCAGCTTTGCAGTCCACGCAACTCTCACAGAGGTTTCATTCCCTAACAGTCTGTAAGTAGACTGGAGAAATGAAACTTTCTATCTGCTCAAATACTGTAATTATACATCTCTTTCTCCAATGACATAGCCTTGCCTGGCTGAGTAAGCAGACAGATGACTAAATAGCAACTTGTCTCAAATTCAGCTTAGAAAAAAAATAGGCATGATATTAATAAGGAGGGAAGTATACTGAGGAATAAATGCCAGTGTTCTTACATTATTGTCATTTAAGGGCATCACACCAAAGGTCACAGAGATAATAAGCCTCAGTCACTTTCCATTTGTTACACAACATACAAATTGCCACAGCATTAATGAATATCTTTTCCCATTCCTGGCCAGCCAAGACACTGTATTTTTTTCCTCCTAGACAAGTACTTAACCCTTGGAATTCATTATTTCCATCACTTCTTGCAGCACTTTGTCCTTAGGGCTGAGCATTAATGCCACAAGGAGGCTGTGACTGGAGCATCAAATGCCTGAACCTGACTTCTTTCTGCTAGAGCTTTTTTGCTGAAGAGCATACAGAGCATATTGGTATCTTTTGTAATCAAATATGTATACACACAGACATTCATATGCGCTCTCTTGCAAGTATCTTAAACTCCTTGCAGACCACGGGAAAAAAATGAGACATTTCCATAATTTGTGGTCAGTTGGAGCTTGTAGCATAACTAGTATTTCAATATATAACTATCAGGCAATCTTGCACCTTGAACATCAATTAACAAATTGCACAATGAAAAAATTATATATTGAAATACTAGTTATACTACAAGCACCAACTGACCACAACAATAGAAGATACCATGGGACAACTGCATTTCCACTTAAAATGATGACAACTGGAAAGTAGGTAGTTCTGGGAACAGAAATGACATTCACAGAAATGTGGAAGGGCTTCTACGAAGGGATATACTACTTAAATCCTCTTTACTTCTAATAAACTGCTAAGATAGCACAGCTGAGCTATAGAGAGAGGAATGCCTCATTTCTAATCTGTACTTCATTGTATTTTAAGTTTAGGAATTTTGCATAAGTATAGATAGCAACAGCTGAACCAAATTCATACTATTTCATAAACTGAGGGTTTGTTTAAGATGACAAATTATTATTTCCACTGTTCACTGTAAGTATAAAGAACATGCAGATGAAAAGAGAATATTGAAGACTGGTAGCTTTGTACAGTTCTGAAAAGGACTAAACTTTATGTGCATAATTAAAATAAGAGAGAGGAAAATAAAGTCCGATGCCAAATGCTGAACAAAAATAAGCTTCAAGAGTATTTGCTGCATGTAATCAAACCACCTCCACCTCTGTCCCCCAAACTGAAACACTGCATTCTGCATTTTGATGAATATCTTATCTTGGTATTCTCTCCTCTCCTGCTCAACAAACTCAAAAAGCAAGAGCCAGAAAGAAGAAAGCTGATAGCACTGCTAAGCTTACCCACAAACAGGTCCATACTCTGTTATGAGTTTTGTGTGGTTTTCCCAAAAACCCTGGAAGAAAGAAAAATAACACAGTATTTTAGTGAAGTGCTTAGCTGAAGCTCTATTACACACTGTTTCTACCATTCACACAAAGCTTTGAATCTCAGCCAGGAGAACCATGGTATTAACTCATAACCTCACATGTCTAATATTGTCCATATGTGACAGAGTCTAGAAAGGATGGCTGGAAAAACAAATCCCAATCCCAAAAAATATCTGGACAGCCATGAAACGTTTCCATCAATGTTTTATGCTCCAAAATTTGTTACCATTTCATGATTTATTATTTTTAAACTAACTTCATCATTTTGGTCCTGACTCAATTTTTTTCAGATATGCAAACTGACAGAAAACTAACAGAGAAATTAATAAAAGGATATGTATATGACTTACTACACAAAAGAGAAGCACAGGAAATATGGCAAGGTTATCTTGTTTTGGTTTTAGCCACATTGTTAAAAAAAACCCCCAAACCTGCCAAGTCAAAGTTTAGCTCAAGGCAGTCAGCTGGTACACTCCACAGAATAGTAAGCAGATTTATTTTTTAGATTTTTTTAGTATTTTTACTGTCTTTCATTTTCATAATTGATGAAAATTGGTATCCATTTATCTAAATAAACCTGCCACTATACTCAATTGTTAGTGTCTTAAATGAATTCAAATTGATCAATCTAAAGAAGGTGTGCTAAATATATCCCCGAAAGTGAACAATAAAAAATCTGTTTTAATGAAACCGCAATATTTGAGGACCATGCTCCATTGTGTTTGCAACTTTTCTATGGAAAAACTAACACATTTGATTGCATTAATCTGCATTTATATTCATGGAAGACAGACTATCATGATCTATTTTCATTTTTAAGAGAAAATTCACTAACAAAGTAGAATACTTATGTCTCATATTGAACATTTCTTGTTTTTTATGACATACCACAGAATATTAGCTAGAACAATACAAACTACTGTAAATACATCTACTGCTGACATAAATAAACAAGCCAGTGTAATGCACGTATGCTTTGAGAATATCTTACCACACTAAGCAAAAGAAAATCTGGTAAAAGATTTTCAAAAAGTAATGATCCGACTTACCACCCTTGGGTGCTACCTTATTGTCCAAATTAGCAAAGCACTTGCCACCACCTACAGTCCTCCTCTCACAGAATTCCTCAATTATTTATTATATCGTTATAGTACAGCAGTACTTTTTACTTTCATTTTTTAAATCCTGGACTTGGAATACTTTTATTCTGCAGGACAATAAGTCTCCAAGAACTCTAGGTTTTCCTTTAGCTACAAAAAACATGGAATGACGTGTAAGAAAACATGCTAAAGATAAAATTATGAAAGAGGTGGATTAGATGATGGTCTGACAATGTATATTGCTTGAAAAGAATATATATTCTCCCCTAAAAAATTCTTTACTACTAAGGTAAGCAGAAAAGCGTCATGCATTAGCACACAGAAACTAAGGTGGACAAAGCCTTTGTAATACCACAAATACAGACAGGTAACTCAAAAAGGCTTTTTCCCGCAGACACCGTGGGAGGGGAAAAGGCACATACACATTCACACCGACCTGCATTTTTGTTATAGAGATACTCCAGCTGTTGCAGGACTTAGCCTGCAATTGCTATGATTGTCCAGCATTATAAAGGCTGTCTACCGATGCAAGGGGGGGAAGCCTGGGGTCAGATTCCCCCAGCGCTGCTCTCCAGGCTGGTTTAAGGCTGGTACAGCCCAGGAGAGCAGCCCCGAGCTGCACAAACACAGCCGGCATTGCCAGTGCCACGGCCCCACGAGGGATGCAAAACGCTGCTGTAGCGCAGCTGCATTGCTCGGGCAGGGCAGAGGAACTTCCAGTCCTGTGGGACGATGCCAAGTCAGGTCTGCTCTCCAGCCCACTTCCCTCCTAACCTGAACCTTCTGCAAGGACACTCATGCTGCAGCCTGACCCCTGCCTGCTCACTTGTGCTTTGGATTGCAGGCACGCACATAGGTATTGCACTTGCTGTACCCACCAGCTGCATTCCGGTGAGCCAGCAGGATATTAACATTTTCAAGAAGCCTAGGCTTTAAATGATTCAGTGAAAAAGCCTTCCAGAAAGCCAGCTTCTTGGAAGAACTGCTTCTGGCTCACTACAGTAGGGGGGTCAGGCAGAGCCCATTTCAAATCAGTTCTGTTAACCAGTAACTGGTTTTTCACCTCCAGGACTCCTAAATAATTGCACTGGCTTAAAATTAACTACACTTAATTTTTTCCCCTAATATAAGAAGCATTAGCCTGCAGGATGGGGGAAGAGAAGGAGTTGCAAAGCACCTGGGAAAGACTGTGAGAAAGCATCCTCAGAAATAAAAGCAGCCTTCATTCTCTACACTACAGGACGCTTTCTCACGCCATGCAGCACTGCACACACATTCTCACCACTACCTGCCTCCACTGCTCACCCCTGGGACCCACTGCTGTTCTGGCCTCCTTCAGAGCCCAGGTAAGCACCTGGTAGCATGTCTCATGGTGGCAGACCTGGAAACACAAGCCAAGAGCACACACAGGACCCCATGACTACAGACAAGGCAGAGAGCCCGTGCATGTATCCCTTACACACCAAGGTACATTTTTCAACCGGAGGAAGCTGGAGTCATAAAAAGGCCCCTGCGTTTGTATTTGATAACCACGAGGAAAGCCCATGAACCTGCATGGACTCAGTGAGGGGATGTGCCACATGCACACAGCTCTGCCAGTTTTGCAGCATCATCCCCAAACATGGCCTCCAGTAGACAGTACCCTGAAAACATCCTCTTCCTCTCCCATGTTTGAAGCATAGCAAGCCTCAGAAGTGCTTCTGGTAACTTCTTTACACTGTATGAGTTTGGTTTGCTTCAACCAATTATTGTACCCTTGTCCACGTTTTATAATTGCATTTGTACTTAGTATCTATGACATAACCAAGCACCTGCTTACAATCAACTGCTTTTTCACAAGAAAATGGGAGAGGAGACCACCTATCTTTGTTTCCTTGCCTCTTATTTATCCACTGGGTGATATGAAGTCAAACTCAGAAATGGCACCTGCTGACTTCTAGCCAGTGGTTTTAACCTCCCTAAACCAGGAATTATAACAAAACAACATGAGGATTAGGAAAAAAATAATCAGGGGAAAATGAAAACATATGTATTCTGTTTTTTTTAGAAAAACAAAAGAAAACAGAAAAGCAAAACTACATCCAGTATTATGGTAAGACACCACATGCATCAGGAAGAATTGTTGTGCATTAAACACTCAGTAGTAACAATTAAAAGCACAGTTAGCAATGATGTTCCAAGTTAAAAAAAAAAAACCACTTTGGTTTTTCTCTGTTTGGAAGCTGCAGAATATGAACTATCATCATCAACTCAGAAAATGGTTGGGCAGGGGGACTTGTCACATGTGGCCTATACAGTGAGGTACCAGCCTGAGGACAGTCCATCATCAAATAGGATAATGCAGGAGTAGGAAAAGCTGCTTCTCCTGAAGATAGCATATTTTACAGCATCTGGTATACCATGGAAACAGCAGCTTAAGTGGGCTGACTGCTGCACACCCTTTGTTTACATGGCTGGTGGTTGCCTCCCTGCAGGGAATTTGCATTCTCCCCTTCCTCTGAGTATGTATCATCAGCTGCATCTCTGGATAGAACCATCACAAGGCCAAATCCTGCTCTCAAGGATACAGACACAAACCCCATGGAAGAGAAAAAGATTTGGTCTGGTCATCGTCAACCATTTTTCTTGAGATACTGAATGTTGAAGCTTCAGCTTGAGCTGCATATATGAAAGGGCTGCTATTGCTTAAGTACCCCCTCTCCTTTTTTTCACTAGACTCTGTCATTCCAAGACAGATACTTCAGCAATTTCCTCCTCATTGGATATTCACCTTGCTAGATCCTCACAGCAAGGAAAAAATCTGCAGCAATGTCATCTTCCCTCCTTGCTGAAAATGGTTGTAGGCACTAAGCCAAAGTTTTCAAAAAGAGGCAGTATTTCAGAGAGAAGCAATGCATTTTGATTTTTGGGGTGTTTAACATGAGACATATCCTTTTAGTTTCTCAGTGCCTGCAGATCTCATGGTGGCAAATAGGAAATTACTCTGATTGTATGGAGGATGCTTTGAACATTTCAGCTTACTGCAGGTGGAAAACAAATGATGTGGTTTATGAACTTCACTGTACTCCTTCAGGGTCATGAGATAAAATGGTTTGAAGAGAGCCACAAACCTGGGATCCAGCAGATGCATGCTCCTGACAGTAGCTCAAAATTTGGACTCTGAAATGGGTCCTAGAGAATGCAATGAGGATAACCCTTGAATTTTGTAGTGTACTGAATGCCACAAAAGCTACTAAGCTCTGTGGAGATAGATGTGATGAGCCCATCAAAATTCATTGCAAGTGGGAAACATTACCCATGCAAGAACAGCCAAGGGAAAAAGGCTTCTTTTGTCGCTCCCTTCTGAAAAGTATCAGATATTATCTGATGTCAGTCACTTTACCAAGACAACCTGGATTCAAACCTGTGACTCAGAAGACAAAGATTCCACATCCCATAACTAGTCCCATATATGCTCCACTTTTATCACTCTATATCAGATGTGACGCTCTGTTTCATTGTGATATTAATAATCACAGCATCATTGTTCAAGTGCACACCTCATATTAAGAGATAAAAAAATCTATACCGTTATTTATGGTACATAATGACAACAAACAACATTTATGGATCAGAGTTTTAGCATTCAATGGGCTTTCACATGTCTTTTTTCTTTAGACCACTTGAAAAAGAAAATTGCTAATAACCTAGTACCCAAAATGATTTTTTTTTAACACAAGCTAACATTTAATTAAAGTAACCTTGTATAAGCCTGCAACCCTCTTTGAAGGAACAACCCCAGACTGTACATCATCTCCAGTAATAATCCTAGTGAAATCACTAGGATGCCAGCAGACAAGAGGAGTAACACAGCATGAACTTCTAAG